ATCCCTTTTATTTCTTTTTCTTGTCTTATTGCTATGGCTAGGACTTCCAGTACTATGTTGAATAGGTGCCCGCTATGGTGAAAGCGGGCATCCTTGTCTTATTCCTGATCTTAATGGAAAAGCTCTAGGTTTTTGTCCATTGAGTATGATGTTGCCTGTAGGTCTCTCATATATGGCCTTTATGATGTTAAGGTATGCTCCCTCTACTCCCACTTTGCTAAGTGTTTTTATCATAAATGAGTGCTGTACCTTATTAAATATTTTCTCCACATCTATTGATATCATCATATGATTTTTGTCTTTCCTTTTGTTTATGTGATGTATTACATTTGTTGATTTGTGAATATTGTACCATCCTTGAATCCCTGGGATGAATCCCATTTGATCATGATGTAAGATCTATTTAATGTATTGCTAGATGGGGTTTGCCAATATTTTGTTGAGGATTTTAGTGTCTACGTTCTAGCAGTGATATTGGCCTACAGTTTTGTTTGTTGTGTCTTTATCTGGTTTTGATATTAAGATGATGCTTGCTTCATAAACAGAGTTTGGGAGTCTTCCATTTCCTTGTTTTTTTTTTTGAATAGTCTGAGAAGGGTAGGGGTTAGCTGTTCCTTAAATGTTTTGTAGAATTCTCCTGTGAAACCGCCTGGTCCAACGCTTTTGTGAGCCCGGAGTATTTTGATTACTATTTTGATTTTACTAACTGTTATTGGTCTGTTCAAGCTTTCTACCTATTTATTCAGTTTTGGAAGGTTATATTTTTTTAGAAATTTGTCCATTTCACCCAGGTTTTCAAATTTCTTGGTGTATGGTTGTTTGTAGTAATTTCTTACAATCCTTTGTATCTCTGTGGTATGAATGTAATCTCTCCTCTTTCATTTCCAATTTTATTTATTTGGGTCCTTTCTCTTATTTTATTGATGAGTCTGCATAAAGTCTTGTTGATTTTATTTATCTTTTCAAAGAACCAACTCCTGGATTCATTGATCTTTTGAATTGTTCTTTTAGTCTCTATGTTATGTAATTCTGCTCTGATCTTGGTTATTTCCTTTCTTCTCTTCTCTCTGGGCTTTGTTTGTTGTTGTGTCCCCAGTACTTTTAGGTGTAGTGTTAGGTTGCTTATTTGAAATGTTTGTATCTTTTTTAGGTAGGCCTGTATCGCTATGAACTTCTCTCTCAGGACTGCCTTCTCTGTGTCCCATAAGTTTTGGATCATTGTGTGTTCATTTTCATTTGTTTCCAGGAACTTTTGATTTCTTCCTTGATTTCACAATTAACCCATTCATTGTTTAATTGCAGACTATTCAATCTCTATGAATTTTAGTGTTTTTGAGTTTTTTGCTTGAGGTTGGTTTCTAATTTCAGGCTCTTGTAGTCCGAGAAAAAGGCATGAATGTTTTTGATAGGACCAAATATGAAGGATCTTCAGCATAGACCAAATGTTTCCTTGAGCATTTTGGTCAGGGCCAAATATTCATTACTCTTACTTGAGGTCTGTAAGTCAGAGTAGAAGGATGAGAAATAGAGGATGTGAATGGCATGTGGGTTAGCTGTGAAATTGAGGGTACTTTCAACTTTGAAATTCAAGGATGCTTTAACTACCAGTGTCAGGCTGAAGCTTAATTGGTAAATCCCTGTATAAACTCAACAAACTTCCTTGAAGAGGTTGAAGTTCTCAGTGCCTGATATTCACTCTCTCACTCCCCACTCCTGTGCCTCAATACAGCTGGTGATACTTCTCCCTGAAGAGGGCATTGAGGTCTACTGCACTCTGCTCCTATTGCCTAGCTTTTTCTGTTACTAAGAAGTGTCAGTGATTTAAATTTCACCACAACCAACACTTTATAGAAAGACCTTTCATTTGTATCTCTAAATGATACAACATATATTACCATAAGAAAATATTCTGTACCCCATATTCAGGCTTTTACTATCTTATTTGCATCTAAAAGAATTAGGGATTTTTCATGGTAGCCTCAAAATTCAGGCCAGATATCTAGGTATGTTATTTGTTTTCAAGCACAGAATATTGCTTTGAGACAAAAGTTAGTCTCTAAAACAGTAATAACATTATTGGCAAAGAGTACTCATAAATACCAGTTTTAAATTAGGTGTCCTGTGACTTTTAATAAGATATTATTTTTACTTCAGATCTATTTGCTCCTAATGATTTCAACTCAGGTTGACAATGGAGAGACAGAAATTTACATTTTGTTCCATAAATTTTCTTACAATGGGCCTGGGATATAACAGAATAAGGAAAGCCATCAGGGCAGCAGTTTTTATGGAAGAGAATTTGGCAGGCTGCTGCATTTTATTCCTTCATTGTGTTTACCTAGCAACCTCTATGTGCCAAACTCTGCTAAATCCTGGTCAAATGAGAGAAAATCAGGGTTACTGATGCATAAAAGTTCACAATCTAAGGCTGACTGTGCTTCCTATAAACTTTCTAGGAATTGAGACAAAGGAAGTTAGGCTGGTATATTTCAATGTCATGTTAAGATACAAAGTTTACAATATAACTCAGAATGGGGAGGGAAAATTAGCACAGCAAAACTATAGCATTAGTTCATAAGAAATATAAAGTTATGTCAATAGAATGATTATTAGTCCTTATGTACAATCAGTTTTTTTTGTAGAGCACCATGAAAGAGAAATAAATCCTCAGTTAGAACATCTAGGTTTTTTGGAATCTTTATGGGAGAAAAATAGCAAAGTTCCAGAATAGAAGTCCTCACCATTTTATAACCCCCTTCCATCTGTGATATCATAGCTCATCTTTCACCTTTCTTCCCTTCAATCCTCATGCTAGATATTGTAGACTAGAACCAGCCTTTTTGCAGAGCAGCAGGAACCAGGCAGAAGAGTAAATCATTAGCATTCTACAACAAAGAATGACAATTTTGTAGCATGGCACAAAGTTTGTTGAAGACTTGATTAGTTCTGTAGGAATGCTTAATTGAATAGTGAGACAGAATAAGGAGAGACACGTAAATCAGAGGGCAAGAGGTAAGTTTACATTGGATAGCCTCTTCAAGCAGGCAGAGAAGTCTCAAGTTGTGTTGTAGTGGAGGCATCAATAGCTAAATTCATGACATAACACTTGATTGATTCCTTCACTACTTGAAGCCATTCTTTAAGAGGCTTTTTAAACCATTATTGTTATCCAGCAGTTATTTGTTTCAGAGATTGATAGGGTAAGCAGTGTAAGGAATATCCTACTAGGAAGAGAAAATTGTCCAGTTACAAACATAAACCCAACTGAAAGAACTATGAAATTATTTCCCCCAAAAACCGTTTCCTGAGAATATCTAGAGAAATAACCTATGGTTAAATGCAAGAAATAAAACAGCACATCATGTATTATGCTAAGTGAAATAAGTCAGTCAGAGAAAGACAAATACCATATGATTTCATTTATATGTAGAATTTAAAAAGCAAAATAAGCAAGCAAACAAAACTTAAAAAGACTCATAGATACATAAAACCAAATGGTTGCTGCCATAGGGGAGAGGGGTTGAGAAACTGGGTGAAAAACATGAAGGGATTAAGAAGTATAAATTGGTAGTTTTGAAATAGTCATGGTGATGTAAAGTATAGCATAGGAAATATAGTCAATGATTTGTAACTATGTATAGTGTCAGGTGGGTACTGGAAATAACAGGGTACCAGAGCACTTTGTGAAGTGAATGACTGATCACTTTGTTGTACACTTGAAACTAATACAAAATAATATTGAATGTAAGTTGTAATTGAAAAATAAAATAAAAACATCCAGCCCATTACATGGGTTACCTATTAAACCCAAAATAGAAAATGCTATAACAAGTATGAACAAGACCCATGGGAAATCTGAGGGTTCATTTGTATCTCTCAAGACTCAGCTCAGACATCACTTCCACTTGAAAACCTCCTCTGAACCCCCCAAAGTGTTTATCCTCCTGTAAATTCTCATGGTCTATTATATATAATGTATATTTATATGGTTGTACTTATAGCACAGGTGGCAAACACAAGGCCTGTGGACTGAATCCAGCCCTCCACCTTCTTTTATCTGGCCCAGAACCTTGTTTCTACCCAGTGGCAGCACTGAGCTCCTTGCCCCTAGTTAAGGAGTAGTTACGTTTATATAGTCCTAAAATTACATTCCGCCCTTTGAAGGCAACTGTGAGGCTGATGTGGCCCCTGGTGAAAATGAGTTTGACACCCCTGAATAGGTTTATTTATTGACTACCTGCTACCTGTTCATTTATGTATCACCAGAACCTAGAACAATGCTTGATATAGAGTTTGTGCTAAAAAAATATTTGTTGAATAAATAGATTATAGGAGTTGAAGGATAGACTGAAAATGAAGATATTGGATACTGGATGTATGTAGAAAACTTAGGCAAATAAAACAAGTTATCTAAGTGAAAGTCTGAACTATAGGAATGGAATAGAGATAATGGATGTGAGAGAAATAGGTAAGGAAGCAGATGAATGAAATTTAACAGTCCACCACTACATGAGAGGAAAGAAAATGACCTAGAGGACTCTGAGATTTTGAGCCATGCTCTGAGGTTGTGAGCCAGAGTGTGTGGAAAGGCAACTGACCACAAACACAGAGAAGCACAAGCTTGTTTGGTGGGACAAATTGTGTTCAGATTTGGTTATGTTGAATTTGGAGTATTATTTTAATGTCCAGTCATATATGTTTCAATTATATATGTGTAGCTTAAGTTTTGAGTATATCCATGGAAAGTGATGAAAATTTGGTAAAAATTTGTTAGAATATGGCATTTGAAGACATGAGACTATATGCATTTGCTGAATGATAAAATATATAACAAGAAGAAAGTAGAATCTATGATAGAATTTTAGGTAATATTTGCATTTCATGGATTTGAGGAAGACAAAGACCCAGAGAAAGCATCAGAAAGCTTCAGGAAGAACCAGAGTTTATTTGAATCACAAGTAAGAATGGAGAACTTCCTTAAGCAGATAAGAAGTGCCCCAGTGCTCACTTCGGGAGCACATATACTAAAATTGGAATGATACAGAGAAGATTAGCATGGTCTCTGCACAAGGATAACATGGAAATTTGTGAAGCGTTCCATCCCCAGCAGGCTGGGCAGAATACAAGTTAAGTGTCAAAGAGATTCAGTTTCCTCTCCATTTTCCACTTACTGGAAGAAATTTTTAACTCTTTAAGCAAAAGAAGACAGTTAAAATCTAAAGGAGTAATTTTTATTTTTTTCCTAATAATGGTGATTGTAATTGAGCTTAATTGCTAATTAATTGCTTTACTTTTGTTACATTTCTAGCCGGCTCATTTTAAGACCCAGAGTAAATTGGATAGATTATTAGCTTTGAAATCAAATTTGCTTTTTTTCTCTTGATTTAATCTTTATTGTATTTTCTTCTATTACCATTTAGTTCCCTTATACCCCCCATTCCCCACAATCACCACCCTGTTGTTCATGTCCATGAATCCCTTTTCCTTTTTTGCTCAATCCCTCCACCCCTCAGCCTCCTCCCCCACACAACTAGCTATCATCTGTAAGGATTTAAAATTTATTTCAATACTAATTAGTTACATGACATTAGGAAATTTACTTAATTTTTTGAATCTCAATTGACTCGTGGGTAAAATGGAGATAGCAATGCTTAACTTGACATGTTGTTTTGAAGATAATACATATTAATTAGCATATCACTTATAATAAATACATGTTGTCTTTTCTTTTGCTATCCTTCCTCCCAAAGTCATTTAACTCTCATGGAAAGTCTCTAAATATATAATTTCATGGTCTTTTGCCTTCAGAGAACACTCAAAGAACATTAATGAGGACTTTATGGATATTAATGGAAAGATACTAGAGAAGCTTGCAAAATTGAAAGATCTAACAACTAAAGAAACTGAAAACGGGCCTATATTAGGATTTGTACAATTGGTTCTGCCCATTCTCCAATTTCCAAGAATAAAGACTGGTGTAGAGAAGGAATGAAAAGTCTGTAGAATGGGAAGAACAGTATTTTTCATGAGTGTCTTGAATCTTAGTTCAGAAGCACTAGAACCAGGAAACACTTTTAAAATGCTTCTTCTCTTGTTCTTTTTTTTTGCTCATTTGTGCTTGGCTTTATTCTCTTCTTTGTAAATGGATTGACTTTAAATGCAAGGGGATATGGTTGTTACCAGCCAAATTATTTTACCTTCTAGCTCAGTGACAAAAGGAAAGAACTAACATTACAACATTTCCGGTGAAGAACTCAACCTGTCTGGCTTGCTTCCTGTGCCCAATCCTGCGGGAATGACCATGGCTGGCTGACACGTCTTAGGACTCTCCCAATGGAAGTTGTGAACCCAGGCTCATGGACATTGAGACTAGGCTCTGTTACCATAGTGTTGGATGAGATCATTGAGAGGAAGTGAGCTTGACCCTCAAGCTGAACTTGGGCAATCAGAAGCTTCTTACCTTCTCCTTTGTCCTTGGAATGTATGCTTTGCCCACTGTTCCTGGGCTAGGAACAGTTCCAAGGACACAAGCTTGAGGAGTAAGGTGTTGCTGAGACTGTCTGGGTGGTATATGGGACCGAACCCAGTTAAGGCTTCTGTATGAACTTGTAAGATTCTGGCATGTTCATTCAAAGATCTACCTGTTTTTCAGACACTAAAGACAAATCTCGTAAGTTCCCTTGCATCAAACTTGCCACCAACCAATCTCGAGTGCCCTGCCTTTTAGTCTCCTTGCCTTTGATGTGTAAGAGCTAGTTTGTGAACCCACACAGAGGAGAGAGGGGTGCTGGCCAGACAAAAATGAGAGCCATGACAATGATCATTTTGTTCTTTCTAATCCTCATGCTTATTTCTTTTCAGTGTCTTAGCACATTAGCTAGGACTTACATCATTGTTGAATTGTAGCAGTGATAATGGCTGTTCTTATCTTCTTTCTGACTTTAATGGGAGTTTCTGATATTGGCTGCAAGACTTTGATACATATCAATTAAAGGAAGTTCTTCATATTCTTAGTATTCCATGAGTTTTATTTTTTTTTTAATTATGAAAGGGTGTCAATGATGGTTGAGATAAATTGAATTTTGTCCTAAAATTTTTAAGGTCATTGATATTTTTCTCATTGAATTCATTAATATAATCAATTAAGTTGATAGATTAAAAAACATTGAATCAGTTTAAATCATTGGGATAAGTCCTCTTGTTCACAATGTATTTTTATTTTGCTACATGCTGAATTTCATTTATCAAAAATTTAATTTTTGATTCTCTGTTTGTAAGCAATATTGACCCATGGCATTCTTGTATTGTCTCCACCTAGTTTTGTAGTCATTATTTTCCTGGCCTTATAAAATGACTTGGAGAACTTTCTTATTTTTGTTGAACTCTGGAACTTTGAATAAAATAGGATTTGTTCATTGTAAATTTGGCAGAGGTTTGTAAATGATCTGGGCCTGGTATATTTTTTTTAGTAAGAGAACCCCTGAATATCATTTAAATTTTGTAATAGTTACTGGCTTACTCAGATTTTTATATTTTATAAACTGATTTTAGTAGTTAAATTTTTCTAGAAAATAGCCTTTTTTATATTAATTTTCCTCTCTATTTATCTCTTCCTAAAATCTTCAGTTATATTGGGAACATTTTCCCTATTAATTTGTGTTTCTTATTTCTACCCCACTCCCATTTAAAAACTTGCTTTGTACTACTTTATGAGAGGTTGTCTCAATTTCACTCATCAATTTGTGAATTTGCTATTACCTTTTTATTGAATATGTATTCTTTTACTAATGTTTAAACATCTGTTTAAATATTTATTTTTAATATATTAATTGGTTCTTTTAAAATAATCAGCCACTCATTTTTATTTCATTATTACTGATTATATTTTTATTAGCTTTCTGTCTCACATTTTTTTGGTTCTCATTTACCACTTTAATTTATAAAATGTTAAAAATACTTGTTTTTTGTTTTTAGAGTTGTGTACTATGCTGGTTTCCTGAGCTTCAAGTGCTTCTGTGTTTTCAGTATGTTTGCTTTTTATAGTGTTAATTTCCCTCAGCTGATTTATGATTCTTAGTTGTAAGTTGTCTTCATAGAAATGTTTCTTAGCGTGTGTCCAATAAATTGCAGTGGTCTAAGGAGAGTCTTAGCCCTTAACACATGGGGCATGACTGCAAGTAGCCTTGGTGAGTCTCTTAGCTTGAGGTCTCTCACCCTTGAAGATGACATTTTCCCCTCTAGATCAGTAGATTCTCTTGAACTTGACTGGGTGGTAGATTCCCTTTGTCTGGCTTCATCATTTGGTACTATCCCTGTCAGCTGAGCACAAATCCAGTCTCTAATCATTTATTTTAAAGGCTTAAATGTTATAAATTAACACTGTGATCCTAAATTAGGAATGTTACTTTCAATATTTACATTTAAATTTCTTATACATTGGCATGTATTTTTATATACTAATGTTGAGATCTATTTATTTCCCAAAATAGTGCATTCTCTCACCACAAATCATTAATCCAATGACAATTGTATTATGTATTCATTTCCCAGAAATATTTTGGTCTAATTATAGACTTTTTTCTGTTACTTGTATGTCAATCTCTGTGCTTCTACCATACCTGTAAATAATTTGGGGTAGAGTAAGCCTTCCTTTATCACTCTTCCAAAATTTCTTCAGATATTTCTATATGCCTTTGAGGAAGCTGTGGAATCTAGCATCAAGTGCTAAGAAACTAGGGAGGATTCTTGTCATCTGAGTGTTGAATAACAGGCAGACAGACCTTGGTCCTAGACATGGGCACTGTGGTATCCCTGTTCTATTTCTAGGCAATCTTGACTGAAGTCCAGGAGCACCTGGAAATCATTGCCTTATAAAATTACCAATGGACATGAGAGCCTTAATGGAAGTCCAGGTTTCTAGAGAAGTTCCAGAATAACATTACAGAAAAAAAAATATGAATGGAGACACACTGGAGTGGGTAAGAAGAACAGCTTGACTTTACCTGCCCCCTTTCCCCAAGGTAGCACAGCTTAGAATCAAGAGATATCTTCCTCTGTCCATAATTTCTCTTGCAGGGAAAGGAGAGGACATGTGAGTGAGCACCTGGTTTTCTCAGTTGTTCCAGGATGCTACCAAAAGGGCTCATGTCTTTTGCTCCATCTAGAGTATAGTATAATGAGCTATATTACTAGGGGGAGGGAAGAGGTTGGGGAGTAAGCAGATAGGATGCTCAGAGGACATTAAAGTGATGCAAATTTCACTAACAGCATGGAAGACTCCATTAAGAAGCCTGCCATGAACCACTGGTATGCCTCAACCATTTGTCCCCCAACTAACCCATGGGTACCCCTAGTGTTGTATGTGCCTCACTCACATACACCCCCATCCTGTGGCTGACTCCCTTTGTATGGTCCCAAAAGCAGTGGTGAGAGTGAGCTTTGGTAGACAGCTGGTAAGCATGCACAGAAAGCTAGCCCAGTTCCATGGGCCAGAGAGAAAACACAAACTTGGGTTTTAGTAGAACCTTTAGGAACAAAAGAGAGGCTCTATCAGCAAACAGCCTGCCGAATTTTAGGATCCAGAGAAGACACACAAGCTTAAGAATTCAGCCACAAGAAGGATCAAGAAGCCTTAGAATCTCCAGCAGAGCTGTCAAAAAGGCTATCCCAAAATCAGTTAGTGGAAACTAGAGGAGCTGACTGCTTCAAGTATAAAAGCAGCAGTGTAAAAACTTGAGGAACTTGAGAATTCAAGGTAATGTGATACCACTAAGGGATCACAATAATTAAAAATTAAACTTGAAGACATGAGATCTGTGATTTATCCAATAATGAACTTAAAATAGCCCTGGCTGGTGTGGCTTAGTGGATTGAGCACTGGCCTGTGAACCAAAGTGTTGCTGGTTTGATTCCCAGTCAGGGCACATGCCTGGGTTGTGGACTAGGTCCCCAGTAGGGGCACACAGGAGGCAACCACCCATTGATGTTTCCTTTTCTTTCTCCTTCCCTCCCCTCTCTAAAAATAAACAAAATCTTTTAAAAAACATAATAAAGAAAAATATTTCAAAATAACTCTTTTTAGGAAACTCAGTGAACTACAGAAAAACA